TTCTTTCTTCCTTTCTTTCGTTTCTTTCTCTTCCTTTCTTTCTTTCAATTTTTTTTAAGAGAGAGAGAATGAGCAGAGCAGAGGGAGAGGGAGAAGAAGACTCCCCACTGAGCTGGGAGCCCCACGGGCTAAATCCCCAGGACCCTGGGATCATGACCTGAGCCAAAGGCAGATGCTTAACTGACTAAACCACCCAGGTGCCCTGCCTTCCATTTTCTCAGGGAGGCATGTTTGGTAGTCCTGCTAATCCATGTGGAGTAAGGTATTTGCCAGGTTGGAGGAGTATAGAACCGAGGTCTTTCTATTCTTAGTCATATTAGCAACTAAAAAAACAACTTCTACAACCACATCAGGTAATGATTCTCCACTTGGCCTGTCTTATCTCTTGGCCTTATGGCTCTATTCTAGATCTTGAAATTCATGCTATGCCAACACTGAGGCAATTCTTCCTTTATCTCCCTCTATGGTATAGGAGCTAGGAATTTCCCATCTATGTCCACACAGGAGTTTTCTGTGGGGAGTTGTAGCTATGTCTTATCTCACATGCTGGAACCATTACTTATGTTAGTAATTGAGAAAATTTTTGCCCTAGAGGCAGGTTCTTTGTTGGAAACAATGATAAGGTTATTTAGTCACTGGAATAAGAACAAAGGGCATACGTATTAGAGTATTTAATGAAATTAGGCTGACAGTTTATTGCATTGCATTCATCTTGCCAGTAAGACCATAATATTCTTTTCATAACAGTCCCTGGAGGGAACTAACAAAAATTCCCTCCCTGACCTCTCTGTTTCTCAATGTTTCATAGCTGAGCAACTACCCATGAAAGGGACACACTTTTCACTTTAGATATGTTAATTAGACATGTCAATGAAATCACTCAGGATCTGGCCTACCTCACCCATTTGAGGGTGATGTTAACCTCTGTAGGGTACTTTTCTATACCTCTGTTCTAATTAATTGTGTATAAAATATCACAGTAAAAATAATATTGCTCTGTGGGCTATCTTATTTCCATGCCATTTGGAATGTACCCAACTGAAGCCCTGGTGAACTGACCAGACATCAGATACTTTCTTGTTTCATATTGGAAGGAAGAATTAAGTTGGAACAATCTTATCTGGAAATAATTCAGCAGAATAATTAATCATCCTAGTTTAATAAATTATGGGAAGTTTTCAGGGTTTGTGAGTATTGTCTATTGACAAAGTAGACTATTATTACAGATAGAAATTGTAGGGAAAATCTTTAGAATCAGATAGCATTAAAAATCAGGACATCATTAAGATATTAGCTCTAACACATAATGCCAGCTCCAAAAAATGGCAGGAAGGGAGACTTTACTTTCTCCGGTTGCAAAAGCCCAGGTAACAGACATTTGCACATGTCACTCATGTTCACTTGAAATCAGCAGATCTAAAATAAAATTCATTACTCCTTTCCCTGGCCTCCATTAGTCCCACCCTATCTTTTACTAATACCGAACATACTTTTATCTCAGTCTGTAGTCTTCAGCTATATGAGCTAGAAACCCAAGGATCTTCGTTCCCTTCCTTGCCAAGAAATGGTTAAGAGTGCAAATGCCAGAGTTGGCCTGCCTGGTTTCAAATCTGATTCTGTGTGGCTTACTAGCTTTATAAGTTTAGACAAACTACTTGACCTCTCACAGCTCAGTTTCTCATCTGCTAAGTGGAGATAATGGGTTAATATATGGGAAGCACTTAGAACTTCAGCTGGTGCTAAATAAGCTCTGTAGAAGGGTTTGCTATTATTTTACAGCACTTTTTTGAGTCAGCTGATTTTTTTTTTGTGTGTGTGTGTGTCCTTTTCTCCTTCCCCATTGTACATGTTGAGTTCTTCCTACCTCAAATGTAGAAATGGTCCCAAGGTAAGTCTGTGCCTACAGTCTTATACCTTTTCCTCTACCCTTCATGCTAATACTAGGATGATTTTTCCTACACCTCAGGTTCAATTATGTCACTTCATTTCTTAAAGATACTAAAGATATTCAGTAATTCCCCAAGCCCATTTGAGAGTTCAGACATATGGCATGACATTTAAGGCCTCCATAATTTGTCCTGACTTATATATTTCCAGATGTCTCTTCTGAGCACAGAGCCTGATGCTGGTCTTGATCACACAACCATGAGATCATGACCTAAGCTGAAACCAAGAGTCAGATGCTTAACTGACTGAGCCACCAAGATGCCTCCTGTTTTATGGTTCTCAGATGAAGCATACAGGGGAAGGGAAGGGAAAACCCCAGTTCATATAAGCTATACATGAGACATCTACTGTCCTTCTTTTCAGGGTCTCTTAAGTCCATCAAATCATGGCGGCTTCTCTACCAGACTTGGGAAATGACAAATTCGAGAAGCTACCAGTGGGGTAGATGAAGAGCTCTTTTGAGAGTTCTATGGATATCTAGGTGAGAAACAGATAGGCAGTTGAGCATTCATTCAACCAGAAAGTATTTAGTAAGCAAATATTTAGTACTACCAGTGAGTACTGTCCTAGGTGCTAGAAATTTAACCCTGAACAAAAGACATATGATATATTTACTCATGGAAGTTCAGCTTGGTGGACATGATTCTAAAGCTCAGGGTATAGGTCTGGATGGATAAGAAAGTCTTGAAGGTAAAAAGCCAATGAATGTAATGGAAATAGCAAAATATTGAGATATCAGATGATTGAAGGGACAAAGTTCTGGAGTGGGGGAAGGAAGGGTAGAGTAAAGGACAGTAATGGTTGAGTTGGTCTTCTACTGACAGAGGCATGTCTCATCCTTTGACTGGGAGAAGAGTTGGTAGGGATTTATGGGAATTTGGGAGTTTGTAGATGGAAATATGAAGAGAGGAAAAAGAGTCATGGCCTAGTTTTCTCAAAGAAAGGCAAAAATACCTGCTAGGAATGAGAAGGGTTGAGGTTTAATGGGGCGATTTGGAGAGGTGGAGGTTTGGCAGGAATCACAGAGGGCCTTGGAGGGGAGAGAGGACTGCCAAACACCAATAGAGGAAAGCACAAATTTATATGGACACCACTTGGCAGGATTGTGAGATTTCTACCAAGACAATATAGTAGATAGGATGAAGAAGAAGAGATGGGAAACATAGAGACATACTATATTGACACAGGACTTGACTTACCTCCAGTTTGACTTTGGTCTGTACTTTCTAATGAATTAAGTTCTTTTTTCCAACCTATCTCTTAACTCAGGCAAAAGACCTGGCAGGCAAAGCATCCCATTATGGGAACTGAAACCACCCCCTTAAACA